GGAAGCAGGGCCTTCACTCTGCTTTTAAAGGTCTCCATTGATGATGTCTGATCTCTTTGAGAGAATTCCTGTTGGAGGTACTTCCTACAAGGCCCTCAGTCCAGTTGGCACTGAGTGCAGTGTCCTTCCTCCTCAGTGTCCCCATGTCTTAGCCTCCCCTTTTGCTACTTCTAGCCCCAGTTACATGGGCTCCAGTCCCTGAGCATGGCCTAAACTTCCCCTCCCTGCTTTTGCTCCTAATGATCCATTCAACTGCCCTTGCTCAAGTTAAATATTTCAATGGATTCCTATGTCCAGTTTCCTCACAGGGGTGGCAAGTGCCTAGCAGGAGGTAGGAAGGCTGAAGGACAGTCACTCTGGGTTCAGCTTTTTCCAACCCAGGGCCCCAACTTGCTTCCAGAAGCCCTTAAGCAAATAGCACCCTAATGAGCTTATGTTGGGGGAGAGGGGTGCAGGTTCACATAGCTCTTTGGCAAAGAGCAGTGCTTGGCCATGACTGGAGGAGAGAGAGAAAGAAAGAGAGAGAGAGAGAGAGAGAGAGAGAGAGAGAGAGAGAGAGAGAGAGACTGACTCTGCAAGGACAGCTTGGAGAGGTTAGCTGCCAGAGGTTCTGGTGCAGTCAGATGGGGGAGTGCAGGTGAACTGGGGCTCTCTGGGGAGGGCAGAGCACCCAGGCTGTTACAGAGACCTCACAACTAAGAAGTTCCCCCACTTTGTATCTGGGACCCAAAACTCTAGTATCAGTATCTTCCAGTCTTCTCCAGGACCTGAGGCCTTAGGTGTAGGTCTTGTAATTTGCCTAGGCCCAGCCATCAGGGGCTACTCTTTAAGTTTTTTTCCTACACAATTGTGAGATATGTGGTGGGGGTGGGGTGCTGTGGTTTGAATGTGTCTATCAAAGCTTATGTGTTAGAAACTTCATCCCCAATGTAACAGTGGGACTTTAAGAGGTGATTAGGACTTGAGGGCTCTGTCCTCAGGAGTGGATTAATGCCTGTATCCTGGGAGTGGGCTTGTTGCAGGAGTGGGTTCTGATGAAAGGACAAGTTTGACCCCCTTTCTTTTGCCATTTCCTACTCTCTTGCCATTTTCCCTTCCACCATGGGATGAGGCAGAAGAAAGGCCCTCATCTGATGCTTAAATGAGGCTGTCGGACACCTCAGCCTCCAGGACTGTGAGAAATAAATGTATTTTTCTTACAAAAGACCCAGGCTATACAATTATGTTAAAGCAGCACTAAATGGACTAAGAGGGAAGACAGAAAAAGAGCAGGAGCCTGGAGAGTCCCGTAAGCCCAGGTAGACCAGCCTTAAGCAATGAGAGAGGATATCTATATGGAAAAGTCCTGGGCATCACTCTTGCAGGTGCAGCCACTAAGGCCAAAGAAGAACCCAAGTCAAGGGTACTGGGGATGGGAGAGCTGAACAGGGGGGAGCTGGGGATGAGAGAGTGGAGTCTCATACTTTAAAACCCTGAAGTTTGCCAGGCTTGAGATTACATCTATAATCTCAGCAACTTGGGAAACTGAGGCAGGAGGATTGCAAATTGGAGGCCAGCATGGGCAACTTAGGGAGACTTTATATCAAAATAAAAAATAAAAGCCAGGCACAGTGGTGCACGCCTACAATCCCAGCAGCTTGGGAGGCTGAAGCAGGAGGATCGTGAGTTCAAAGCCAATCTCAGAAAAATGAGGTGCTAAGCAACTCAGTGAGACCCTGTCTCTAAATAAAATACAAAATATGGCTGTGGATGTGGCTCATTGGTTGAGTGCCCCTGAGTTCAAACCCCAGTACTAAAAATATAAAAGTAAAAAAATAAAAAATAAAAAGGTCTGGGGAGATTGCTCAGTGGTAAAGTGCCCTTGGGTTCAATCCTCAACACCACCCTCCCACGCCATGAAAAAAAATAAAATAAAAAAACCACTGATGTTGAATTGGACCCTTTTTACCCTGCTGCTCATCCAACCTGAGCTTCACTGCTGGCCATTCTATTCCCTAGATGTAAATATCTGTCACCTTGTTTCTGACCCCATGGCCATCTCCCCAATCCAGGTCAAATGCTTCTCTGCCCAATTAATGGACTCCCCATTCCACTATTGAGCCTTCTARTCTATCTTCCACTGTAGCCAGGGGAGCTTTCAGAATCTGTCTGGTCACAAACCTGCCCCTCTTCAAACCTTCCACATATTCCTGGGTCCTGGGGATCCAGGCCAAATCCGTGGAACCCAGGCTCCGGGTCACCTTACTTCTGCCACTGCTTTACCTCAGTTTTTGCCAAGCCGTGCATGCCCCCATGGTGTGGCCACACTGGCCTGATGGTGGTTCCTCCAAGCCTCCAGGGTCACTCCAGCCTCCACGCCTTGGACTTACGAAGTTGTCCCCTCTTTCCTCTCGCCTGAGAGCCAAACTCCTTCTTGCCCAACCATCCACCCTATGCATCTGTATTCATCACCTGTCATCATAATCTAATCTCCCAAGCCGAATGTCTACATGGAGAAGATGTACACATGAGCAGACAAGAACATCTTGATCTTCACCTCATATTTCCCTCCACAAAAGAGTTCACAGGCATTTTGATATGGTCAGTGAAAATCTGCTACAGAGATAGGCCCACTCTAGATGTGCTGACAAAGCAGATTTCCAGAACTGAAATGCTGGCAATGACTTTCCAGAAAGGGACCAAGTTTACCAAATCATGGCCTTGTAGCAAAACAACAGACCCAGGAGACAAATGGAAGGCTTCAAATCCTGTTTCTGTCACTTGCTGTATAATCTTGGGTATGTTCTCATCTGGAAAATTATAGTGTTAAAGTACACACCACATAGAGTTAAATGGGCCACTGAGGATATAGTTCTAGAATAATTTATTTATTTATTTATCTTGCCAATAAATAAGGTGGGGGAGACTTGACGGAAAGTGGGGTGGGGTCATGGTTCAGAAGAAAGGACATGGAGGTGTTACTGCAGGGGAACTTGGACTCCCAGGCATAGCATCCCTCCCCTAGCCACCCTAGCCCAGTGATTAGTCATCATTAAATGAGAGCAGTTATCATTATAGCCTGTGGGAACCTGTTTCCCAAGGAAATGTTTTTTCCCCTGGAGCTTTCCTCCAAGGAATTCATCCCTACCATTTCCAACATAGTAATCTCTGTAAGAGGACAGAACCTGGGCAGTGGCCTGCTTTAACAACTGGCTTTCTGCAATAGGGGAACCTTGATTGCAGCATTTGCCAATTTCCATGGTGTTCCAATGGCCACCATCACCTATTTCTACTGGCCGGACCTAGGATGTCAGCTGATCTGTGGTGGTACATTTTTTTTTTTTTTTTTTGCCTTGGATAGAGTGACTGAGAGAAAATGAAGGGGGTCATCTCTAGATTTAACAGTGCTTCTCAAAATGTGATACATGTTTGAAATATTTATAAAGTTCCTGGGTCTCACAATGGATGTAGTAAAGCAGAATCCAGAAGACCATGTCAGAAATATCTTTGAATCAACTGCTGAGGTCATTCTTAGGTTTGACAACTACTTGGTTAAAGGATCTCTTACGTGGTTAAAGGATCTACTGGCAGGTGCAGTATCACATGCCTGTAATCCCAGCGGCTGGGGAGGCTGAGGCAGAAAGATCATAAGTTCAAAGCCAGCCTCAGCAATAGCGAGATGCTAAGCAACTCAGTGAGACCCTGTCACTAAATAAAATACAAAACAGGGCTGAGGATGTGGCTCAATAGTTGAGTGTTTGAGTTTAATCCCTGGTAAACAAAACAAAACAAAACAAAACACCCAAATTCTGACTTGTCCAAGAAGTTAGAATGGGCCACAAGATAAATGTGAATTCTACACTCCATTACCAACAGCAGAGTCAGAAAGCCAGGTTCCAAGAAGGACCACAGCGCATACAAAATGACTTTGGTCAGAACACAATGAAATAGATCTAGATGTGAAGTAACCGTGGATTAGATATCCCTGTTATTTCTCTGATCCAACCATGTTTAGGGCAAAATTTGGGGGTCAGTATGCAAAGGCCCTGCCCAGTGTGGAGCACAGCTTTCTGCTGAACTTTGCAGTGTTACTGGGTGAGAAAGAGATTGCAGAGTAGGTGGGAGCTCTGGATGTCTGTTCTTGGAAGAGGAAAGCAAACCCCTAAACAGATCCATCTGTGACTCCAAACTCTGTGTATTGACTCTATTCAGCATCCTGGACTCCATGACTCTAACAACTTAAATAATTTTTATTACAAAATAAAGAAAAGACCAAAACATCCCCCAAGTTCTCCTGTGGATTTCCTTCTCTTGCCAATAAATAAAATGGGGGAGACTTGACGGAAAGGGGGGTGGGGTCATGGTTCAGCAGAAAAAGGAGCTTAGCCTGGGCAGGGTTAGCAAGGACATCCAGCCCCTCTCCCTGAGTCCCAGGTACTATGGTCACATTGGCCAGAACACAGAACTCTGCCCACTGACAGCAACAGTTTCAGGATTTGTCTGGAGGAGTGTGGCCAGTGGAAGGTCACGCCTCAGGATGGCCAGGATGGCTGCCCCACCCCTGTGGCCCTTTAGGTTCTGGGTAGCAATGAGTCCAACCAGCTCCCTGCTGGCTCCCAGGGAATCTAGCAGCATCAACTGAGGTGCAAGCCCGCCTATAGGCAGAATCTTTTCATACTGTGGTCTATTACCAACAATGAAGTTGGAAACCAGGCTGGAGAAAGACTGGAGTAAGCATCCAAAGACAGATGGAATGGTCCTCTGATGGAGAGAGGCAGGGTGTGAAAAATCATAGTGAGAGCTGGCTGGGTGTCAAGGTCTCTAGGGTAGAGGGCTAGCCCACTGCGCCTTGCCAGCTCAGCATTCAGCTCTATCACTACATTGGGGGACTTTGGCGGACATTAGCATTGCCCAGTCAAGTCTCAATGGTGTGTCTCCTGTGGAGGAAATAGCAGGGACTAGTGCCTCCAGCTTAGGTCCCTTCCAGAGCCACAGCCCTCCTGGMAGGAAGACCTTTGGGTCCAGCATGGCAGTTCCTGGAGGGCAGTGGTGGGGGTCTTTCAGCTCCCTGCTCCAGACACGCCCAGTGGGTGGAAGCTACCCTCTTCTAGCAAGAGACGCCCCAAGCGGTAAAGCAGCTGAGGGTACCAGTGCACGCCCTCGCCTGAGGTCCAGCTGCCCCATGCCAAGCTGGGAAACAGTCGCAGGGGCCAGAAGGCCAACTGAGCCAGACGGTGGTCAGCCACAGCTGCAAAGCAGGAAGCTACCACATCCTCTACCACCAGTGTCCCGTGCCTTGTGAGTGGAGCATAGGCCCCGAGGGCCACATGTGTGGAAACAGCTGCCACCCGGGCAGGCTGAAGGCCAGGGACCCCTGCTACCAGCACGTACTGGCCAGGCTGCACGTGGCTGGCAAATGTGGCCCGAAACCGGGCTACTGGTTCTGTGTGGTTGTCAGCAGTGAAGAGCAGGTGGGCGGGAGTGAGTGCCAGGCGACGTGGGGGGTCCTGGGTCTCGATGACCTGGAAAGCCCTCAGCCTGTTTGGCTCACGGTCCAGGAAAATGAGCACGTCGCTGAAGGTGGGGTTCCCATCCTCCCCCATAGCCAGCACCCGGTCTCCTGGCTTCACAGCTGACAGGGCCACACGTGCCCCACTCTCTAGGCGCACTTGGGCTCCAGCAGGAAAGCAGCCACCTGTCTTGGCTGCTGCCGAGTGCTCTGTGGGAAGAAGGGACATGGAGGTGTTACTGCAGGAGAACTTGGACTCCCAGACATAGCATCCCTCCCCTAGCCATCCTAGCCCAGTCAGAGCTCCTCTTGTTCCCAGGGAGCCCCCATCTGTATCCCAACCCCTGCAGGAAAGAGCCTACCCTCAACCCACAATGTGATCTTCAGATCCCCTTCTCCCCAGCCTTTGCCAATGAGAGGAGCATACTGGGGCTCCAAGATCCAATGGGTAAGGAAAAGGGCCCTCCCAAAACCCAGGTGATATCATCCATATTGACAGCTTGCCAGTGCTGTGAAGGAGTCAGAGAACAGAGGTCAGCTGAGCCAGGCATTGGTCATTTGTGACTTGACCCTAGGAAAGCTGTAGCCTCATAGAGAAGGAAAGTCACTTAGCTCCTCTGGGGTCTAGATATCCTGTTAATTCTCACCCCTTGCTCAGATGCTTCCAAAAAATTGCCCTCCCTGTGWCAGAGTTGGTTCTTTGAGTCTATGGAAGGGAGAGGAGGCCCACCCATAGGGCAAACACAGACTCCTGGAGCAGCCTCTTAGTGAATGGTCAGGGATGGTCATGGGCAAGAACAAAATCACCACTGTTAGTTCATGTACAGGGTCCTTGTAAGGGCATAGGACTTGGCGGCATCAGCAGGTGAGATGAAGAACAGTATCTGGGGATCAAGAGTAATGTTGGAAGTGGCCACTTGGGGAGCTGACCCTGGGCCAGTGTTTGCAGGTGAAGGTGGATATGACTTGAAGTAGACACAGTTGGTCAGGGAGGTGCAGAGCAGAAGAGTCAGGCCATGGCTGGGGTCAGGGTGAGATCACTGCTGTGAGCCTCAGTAGGGTCAGGAATACTAAAAAAGCAGGCTCCATCTGTGTGCCGGGTCTGTGAGTGCAATTACTACATTGTGCTGGTGTGGAGGGCGGAGCCTGCAGCCAGGGGGTGCAGGCTGGGACTCACACAGGAGCCATGTGAAGCATCCATGACTGGGTTCAATGTAGGTGACAGGGACGCTGGTGAGACTCTGGTGAGGGAGAGGGCAAGGCTCCAATGCCTGCCAATTTTGATCAACAAGGCGGCCAATCTGGGAAAATCCACTTTATTGAGTCCACTTTGTTTATTTTGGCACTCACAGCTGGCTTTGCCCCAAAATGTCCAGCTTCGGGGCTCTGGGAGAGAGGTTAGGGATGCCTGCACCCTCCACCCTGGGAGGCCTGACCTGTAGCTGGGTGGTGGGTTCTGAACCTTAGGGCTTCTGGTCAGGCATACTTATGTTTGGGCCCTTTCTGACCCCAAGCCCCACCACTTCTCCTGCACCGCGGGGGCACATGCCAGCCTGGCTTCCTCCATCTGTCCAGTTTGCTCTGTCTTGTACGTCCTGTGGTAGGCTCTGGACTGTGGACCAGCAGGTCAGCACCCAGCAACACTGGGACAGGCCCTGTCAACCTAGGCTTCTGCCATGACACTACCAGGCATACAAGGGACAGGCAGTCATGAGCAGCTGCAGGGAGCGCCGCCGACGTCCTCTTCCCCCAGTTCCCAGCCTCCATCCCCCGGTGGGCATCTTCACCTTCTTGGCCTCAGAGGGTACTGTGCTGTCTGCCCATGCCCTGCGTCCCCGGCCCCGGGTCCAGCCCCCCGGCATTGGCTCACCCGACTTGACAGAGCAATGCACGTGAGCCTTGGATTCGTAATACACCCAGTCGAAGCCAGCCTCCACTGCCAAGCGTGCCAACAGTCCGTACTTATTGCGGTCACGATCTGAGGTGGTTATGTCCACTGCACGGCCCTCGTAGTGCAAGGACTCCTCTGAGTGGTGGCCATCCTCATCCCAGCCTTCAGTCACACGCAGCTTTACACCGGGCCACTGGTTCATAACAGAGATGGCTAGCGAGTTCAGGCGGTCCTTGCAGCGCTGAGAGAGGAAGGCAGAGGAGTTAGCTGGAGGAGCAGGAGGTGGCCAACCTTGTCCCATACTCTCCTACTACACCCGGAGTTGGAAAAGCCAGAAAGATGTCTATCCTCCTTGGGAAGAGAAGGTTCTAAAGTGTTCCTCCCAGTCTAGCATCCAGGTGCCCCCAGGGAACTGAGCCACATTGTGATACCACAAATATGGGGGATTCAGGATGTACGTGCCCTCAAGGTGCCYTTCTCTGTTAGGTGGAGCTACCCTTCCCTCCAGTATTGTATCTCCCCTGCTCTGGGTTTGGTCCCTAGAGGTGCCAGAGGAAGAAGTACTAGTGGAGTCTACTGCCTGAGGCTGGCCTGCTAGGCGTGCAAAGCCTGAGGTGCCCAGTAGGTGTCACCGCAGCCTCAGGGCTGAGGTCTTGGGATGATCAGCCCCTGAGGAACAGCAGGTGCAGAGCACCCCATGGGCATAGGGCAGGGGATGTGTTGAAGGGGAATCCCAAGCTTGCCTGGATCCCTCCAGTATCACTGAGCAGTCCTGCTGGGACCCTCTTAAGATTTCAAGCTTATCAGCACCCTCCAAAAAGACAGAGGGGCAGAGAACTAGCAGCTGGTGGGCTAGTGCCCCCCTGGCCTGATAGGGGGCAATAGGGACTGTCTCGCTCTGCAAGCATCGAGTGAGGTTGACTCCTCTGCATCTTCCCATTGGTACGCTGCTTCTGTTTGGAAAAGGAACCAAAAAAAACTGAGCCAATACTCTCAAGGATCTGGCTCCATATCTTCAGGATCCTCCTCAAATGGGGTGAAGCCCCGCTGAGGAAAGACCAGGAGAAAACTTCCACTGTTGCTACCTCCCTGTTAGGGTCCTTAGAGCAAAAGGGACCATGCAGCTGACTGAGGGAAGAGGGCAAAGGAGCCCAGGCCTCCACCTGTAGGGAAAAGGGCCTTCCACCAGGCCTTGAATCAGAGTTATGAGGGCCCCCACCAAGTGTGGGCCACTCATGCCTCAACCTATATCCACTCCAGGGGCCCCATAGACCCTTGGACTTGGCCTCCCAGGAGCCAACGGCTACAAACCAAAGTCAGACCCAGCCTTCCCGGCAGGCAGCCTGGCTTGGGACGCTCACTGCTGGGAGAGGTAGCTTTAAGTGTTCCCTTCCTGGTCCATGCCGCCTGGCTTTTAGCCCCCCACCTATGTCCACCCGAGGACACAGCTCCCAGCCTCTCTTTCCCCCCAGTCCCCCCTCCCTCGGGTGCAGAGCCTGGGCTCTCGCTGTCAATGATTGCCCAGCCTGTGGCCCGGATCCTTATCTGCATTCCTCGGCGCCCGGCCCGTCCCGGCCACCAGCCAACCTTCGGCCCCGACATCGGCCGACCGGCCCCGGCGCCAGGGTGCATGCTGAAAGCCGTGCTTTAGCTGCTTTCCCTAAAGGATTTAGAAAGCCAGCTGCCTGCTAGCGGAGGAAGATCCCGGGACCCCAGAGGAGGTCTCTCCTTTGGCTCACCCTGCTGCAGGGAAGGGAAGTTTGCACCCCTGCGCTGGGTTGGAGCGTGGATCCTGTTCCGAGAACGCTGAGACTTCAGTCATCTCTGTTCGTTCCCCGTCTCCCTCGGCATCCCTGCTCCTCTCTTCCATCTCCGCCACCAAGCCCAGGGATTCCCCAAGCTCGCTCGGTCCAAGAGCCCAAAGGCCCTGGCACCCCACCCTTTAAGCGCAGCAGCGCCGCTCAGCTATCGGGACAAACACGTGGGGCGCAGCGGGCTCCCTATCCCACCTCCGCCTTCCTACTCAGCTCTTCCCTGCTGTTCCTCAACCCCAGACTCAGCCGGAATAGTGATCCAGGAGGGGGCAGCGCAGCGAACTAAGAGCACGCGGGGAGGAAAGGCCAGGGGGCCCCTAGCGCCCGGAGCTTCTTCGCCTCAGGGGTACCAAATAGCTTCGAAATGAAAAGGGCGCCGCCGTGAGGAATGTTAGGCCGGGAGGAACTGCGTGGGCCCGGGAGGCAGCAGGGTCGAGGTACTTCCAGGTGCGGCGTCTAGCCTGAGCTGCCAGCGCTCTCGGGCAGAGGGGCCGCCGCCAACCTGCTGGGCAATCTCTTCGCAAAGACTCCGCGCGGCTCGGGGATGCCCACACTCCTGCAGGGACCCTGGCCAGCCGGTCTTGGGCAGAAAGCAGTTGGGCTTGGTGAGAGGGGCAGGTGCCAGGGGGCGTGCCAGGTAGTCGAGAAAAGGTGCCAGGGGGGCGGGTAGACCGGGCAGGTGGCTGTATTCCGCGGCGCGCTAGGAGGGCGGATCGCGCTCACCTGGGTCATGAGGCGGTCGGCACCCGTGTTCTCCTCGTCCTTAAAGATGATGTCGGGATTGTAGTTGGGGGTGAGCTCCTTGAAGCGCTCCGAGCTGCGTGCGATCTTGCCTTCGTAGCGCCCGCTGGCGCCCAGGGTCTTCTCTGGCACGTTGGGGCTGAACTGCTTGTAAGCCAGCGGCACGAGTTTGCGCGGCGGTCGCCGGCGACTGCCCACCACCCGGCCCGGCCCGCAGCCCCGCGCCGCCGGCACCACCAGCAGCAGCAGGAGCAGGCAGAACCGCAGGCGGGGCCGGAGCCGGGCGGGAGACATGGCCGAGGAGCCCGGTAGAGCAGCGGGCAAGGGAGCCTTGTGGGTTGATGGGGTGGGCGGGTCGGCGGGAGCGCTGTGGGGGCTCAGGCGACCAGGTGGCTCCTGGGGGCTCCAGGCGGGGGCGCCATGGGCGGCGTGGCGCGGCTCAAGGTCCGCGGGACTCAGGTGCGGGGCGGGGGCCCAGGGCCCTGGCTGGTGGCGGCGCGCTGTCCCCCTCGGCGCCTCGACTCTGAGCTGCCCAGCTCGCCGGCCGCCAATAAATAGGCCGGCCCGTTTGTTTTGGCAACGCGGCGGCGGCGGGGGGCGGCGGGCGGCGGGGCTGCGGGCCGCCGGGCTGGGCTGGGCTGGCCGGGCCGGCGGGCTGAAGGGACCCGCGGTTAGCACCCCGGCCCGGCGGTCAGGCTGCTCGGGCGGAGCGGGAGCTGCTGCCGTCTGCGGCGCAGCCCCGGGCCGAATGAGAGGGGAAATGGAAGAGATCCGGGCTCGGGCCCCGTGCAGACCGCACCCTACCCATGTCCCTGCCTCCTGCGCTCTCGACAGCGAACCTGTAGCAAGGGCAGCACAGCCTCCTCCCCCTCGGGCGGGCGGCCCCGACACTAGCCAGCCCTCGTCCCGCGCGCTTCTCGGCAGCGCGTCAGCCTGCCTGCTGCCCTCTGCGCCCCCTGCACTGCCTGCGTTTGCCCTCCCCGCCCGGACGCGCCCCACCCCGCCCTGGCCTCGCCTCCCGGCTCCTCGCGGCTCCGGGGTGCCCCGCCAGGCGCAAACCTCCCGGACAGGAGGTGCCACCCCCACGGAGACCGCAACCCACGGCGCGGCCGGACGCGAGGGGCGGGGGTCAGTGGCCGAACCGCACAGCCGCCTACGGTGTCCCCTGCGGGAAAGCAAACCTAAAAGGCAGGAGGCTGCTCATAACCTGGTGCCCCACCCTGGCCCAAGCGGCGCGCCCTCTCAGCCTAGTGGAACTGGGTTCTGTATCAACCCAAGGAACATCCCATGGCCTGCCGGTGTGAAACTGGGAGTGGGCAGTTCAGCCTTTTGAAGAGGCAAATAGGGGCTTCTGAGTTGGAAACACTGAAAACAAACAAACAAAAAACAAACCACTGTTAAAACAAGCAAGACGAAGTTGCAGATAGGCCCACACCAAGAGCAGGGCAGCTAAAATGAGGACATCCACAAAACAATGAGCCCAACTGCCCAGAGACACAGCGAGCCACCTCTCAGGAAGAGCAGCTTGTTAAGAATGCCAAAAGGATCCAAAGTCCCTACAAGTACTCTTGGCTCTACTTTAGAAATGAAAAAGGACAGAATATGTAGAGGAAGCTAGAAAAGTGATCATGGGTTATGTATTTTAATAGGACATTCAGGAAAATGTAATTAATTAGGATTTATTCTGCCCAAACAAAAAAAGGTTAAGTGTTAAAAAACAAAAAACCCACTGCCATCACAATATTAAACTGTATGATTTTCTTTTGCAATTCAATAAGAGAAATAAAAGGGTAAGAAATAAAATGATTTACAAACTCTTATTCCAATATTAATACATTTATTGGTACTTGTGTGTCTGAGATACAGGATCTATTAGATATTATTATACTGCATTCATCTTGCAAATCTAATTTAAACTCACAACAATCAGATGAGCTATTGCTATCCTTATTTTACAAATAGGGATATCTAAGTTAAGAGAAGATAAGCAACTTACCCATGGCTCAGGAGCAGAGGTTCCACCCCATGTGGATGCAGGGGCCAGCCCTCACCTAGGCAGACATTGATCCCTTTCTCTGTGCAGGTCTCACCCATCCAGCACACCTGGGTTGTAGGAGGAAGCAGCTTTTCATAGATTCATTCACATTTTCTGGATCAGTTTTRTGAACACAAATTCAGGATTGGAAGGGATTCAAGAGGGCTTAATCCAAGCACTCGATATTACAGAAAGGAAACTGAGGCTCACAGAAGGAAATTTTGGAAGATTCCACAAGGAGTGGAGTGGCACCTGTGAATTGAAAACGAAATGGATTACCTCCTTTTCTCCCCTTTGTTGGCACCCCCCACCCCGCCCCGGCGGTGCCATGCTCTTTAGCACTCAGATTCTGTTTCCTAGTCACAGAATGAATGTTGCCTCTTTCCCTTGAAAGTTTTCCAAAGGCTTTAACTTGAGTTTTCCAGGGTTCAAGAACCATTCATGCAATATCTTCATCTTTTCCTTCGCTCTCCACACCTCTCAGGTTTCTGAGGTAGAGTACTCAGCAGGTCAGTACCTCCCAACCAAAAGGGGCTCTGTTTTTATGAAGCTCCAAAAAGAAGCCTCCCTCAGAAGACCCCCCCACACACTATAGGCTTCTGCCTTTACCTATTACAATGTTTAATAATAATCTAGAGACATTTTGCCTTAAATATCATTTGTCTTCCCCCCTCCCTCTCCAATGCAAAATGAACTCTTTTCCTCTTTTTCATGCCTTAGCAATCAAGGCTATTTTCCTTCTTAGTATCCTATATGCATGGTCTTGAAATTTACTTTCAATCTGCTTTTCTCCAAGTGAAAGTTCATTTCTTTAAGATTATCTCAGAGATTCTAATTTATGATTATTTATTTACAAGCTTTTCCATTTGTCCTCTCATTTTTCCTCTCTTAAATTGTGATTCTTATCCAATTGAACACAAATCTGTAAAGATCTGATCAGACAAATAAAATTATTCAGTGGCTACAGCTGGGTGCCAAGAGTGCATCTGCAGCAGCACCACCTCCTTGGCAGAGATTGGGACTTGCTAAGATCAGACCCTCCTCACTCAGGCCTATCACTAAGAAGCATTTCCAGTGTGTACTGGAAATGAAATGAAAAAGGAAAAATATGTAGAGGCAGCTAGATATTCTACACTACATTCTATACTATATAGAAAAGCTATACTCTTTTTTCTCAGGACACAATTTATGTTTCAAGATCTGAATCTCAAAAAAAGTAGATTAGTTTAGTCTCCTCTGGTGGAGGAGTAACATGATTGGAAGTATCATGATTTCTATAGCAGTGACCACAAGCACTTTTAATCCAAGTAAGGACTAAAGAATCCGGGTCATTGCTTGTATGCCTATGTTCTTAGGTTCAGTAGATGTGGGGTGGCTGTTGAGCTGGGCCAGTGCCTTAGACTTTTCAAACAAGGCCTGACTCCTTCTGATCACTGTCAGGCTCTGCCAGCAGTAGATCTAGAGAACTAAGGTGACCATTCTGGAGGCATCAACAGTCTGGGACAGCTCCTAACCTAATTGTCATGAGTGAGCAGAGAAGACAGAGCCCATCAGCCTCATCAGAGCCTCATGTCTGAGTCCTGTACCTATTGGTAAAAATCACTTTCTTCTCTCACCTTTAGATCTCTTCTACCCCTCAGGCATCTCTATTTTGAAAAGAACAAAGAAAAATCTGTTGCTTTGGACAATACAATTTATCTTTGTCTAAAAGCCAAAGTTAGAAAAATAGGCTATTAAAGGAGGAACATATATTATAGGGTCTGATAATTTAAACATCTGCATAGTAGAGTCTAAGGTGTTATTTTTATTATAATTATTTTTGGGGGGATACCAGGAGTTTAACTCTGGGGCACTCGACCATTGAGCCACATCCCCAGTCCTATTTTGTATTTTATTTAGAGAAAGGGTCTCACTGAATTGCTTAGTGCCTTGCCATTGCTGAGACTAGCTTTGAACTCACAATCCTCCTGTCTCAGCCTCCTGGGTGGCTGGGATTACAGGTGTGCACCATCGTCCCTGGCTCTACCATGTTATTATTTTTAGTCAGTACAAATTTAACATTACAGTACAAACTATATATAGTACTTGTACTATATAAGTGATATACTCAGATACATTTAAGTGTGTATAAAATATATATAATATTCACACACACACACACACACACACACACACACACACGCTACATAGATCTATACTTCCATAGCCAACTAGTCTTTTTCTCCTAATCCTGCCTCTTGACCAGATCAATCCAGCCTAAACCAAAGGGTGCTGCACCATAACTGGACAAGTTTCAGGAATGCAGTTAGTCAAATGTCCCCGAGTGACACAGTGTATGGCAGCCTTGATGCAATAGAAAGAACACTAGAGCTGGAGGTAGCAGATTCATGCCTGAACACTATCTTTGCTACCTTTTATCTGTGTGACCTTAGGCAAGGTACACACAAACCTTCTGAGTCTCAGTTTTCTCATCTATGATAACATTTATCTCATAGGGATGTTGACAGTGTTTAAAAATACAAGCTGTCAAGTCCAAATGTTATATATAAATTTCTTTTATCCTCTGTTGGATTCATTAGGGGTGGTGGCAGTCCTCTGATTCCTATACCTGTCTGGAGGGTATAGGGTGCTCAGGTATGTGTGTGCCCTCAGGCAGCACTGGAGATCAGGAGGTCCTACATCTTTCTGTAAGGAGTCTCTACCTTGCTACAGTAGCATAATGGGCACACAGAAAAAGAGAATGCCAACAGCAAAATAGAAGATTTTGTTGTTGTCCTAAAAAAATTTATTATTTAACCTAACAAATATATCATTAAAATAAAGGCAATTACAAAGCCACAAATGCCGCTCTAAATGAGTACAGTGTGTTAGAAACTAGATAGTTTAACAGATTAGGTGGATTTATTCTGGGAGAATATGGAATTAAGAAACGATTAGCCCAGAGTTGGAAACCTCTTGGATGAAATCAGTTTTGAAGGAGGGGGAAAAATGGCTGCAAAAAATGAAAAGGAAACTCAGGGAGAGGGTGTGGGACAAGCCAAGATGAGGAGGCAATGGGGATGAAGGGCTCTAATACCGTCCCACAAACCTTCACAAAAGCCTTCCAAAGTTGATGCCATTATCTCAGTTTTACAAATGAAGAAATCGAGGCTCAGAGCTTGCACATGAGGGAGGAGGAGCTGGAATCCAGGCCGGTGTGACCGCACAATGGCACAGTTTCTCGGTGAATGACTCCTAACGCAAGAATGCTGGGTTGCTGACCTGTGTTTGAGTCAATCATTTTCTCTTCAAAATCTAGGAAA